CTTAGTTGTTCCACACTGGCCAAGGCGACCGTGGTTTGCTGACCTTGTGGATCTTTCAATCTCACCGCCATGGAGGATTCCTCCAGATCGCATCTCCCTCAGCCAGGGGACCCTTCAGCATCCGGATCCCCAGTGGCTCCAGTTGGCCGCCTGGCACTTGAGCGGGAGAATTTAGTCAGACAATCCTATTCGTCCGGGGTAATCTCGATGATCCAAGCCTCCAGGCGCCCCTTGACTAATAGGATTTATGATGCCATGTGGAAGAACTTTTGCACGTGGTGCACTAGGCATCATCTCAGACCATTGTCGGTCACCATCCCTAACATCTTGGATTATCTATTGGAAGGTATGGATAAAGGATTATCTCCTAGCACTATCCGCAGATAGATAGCGGCTTGTCAACGGTACTTACTTGCGACAATCTAGTTCCATTAATGCAACACCCGGTAGTCGGCACCTTTCTCAAAGGGGTGACCAACGCCAGGCCGCCTGCAGTTCATTGTTATCTCTTTTGGGATCTTCCACGAGTGTTGCAAGCACTAATCTCTTCACCGTTCGAACCCATCTGGTCTTGCTCACTTCACTTCTTTTCTCTGAAAGTTGCCTTCTTAGTCGCAATCACGTGGGTCAGACGTATTTCGGAACTGGCTGCTCTCTCCATTAGGAGTGACTTGTGTACCTTTTTCGAGGATAGAGTGGTTCTTAGATTGGACCCGTCCTTTATTCCGAAGGTTAATACCTGGGTCCATAGGTCCCAGGATCTGGTTCTTCTGCACTTTTACCCTAATCCATCACATAGACTGGAGAGATAGTGGCATAAACTAGACGTGCGTAGGGCTCTGCGCTGTTACATTAAGCGAACCTCTGCCTTTCATAAGTCAGAGGCTCTGTTCATGTCTTTCCAACCCTCTTCCATGGGTCAGAAGGTCTCCTCTTCGACCATTGGAAGGTGGATTAAGGCATGCATTTCCCGTGCCTATCTCTCGCAGTCTCTTCCAGTCCCTACATACATCACTGCCCACTCCACACGCAGTGCAGCTACGTCAGTGGCCTGGTCTACCCAGGCATCCGTTGAGGAGATCTGCAGGGCAGCGACTTGGTCTTCCCCTTCATCATTTATAAGGCATTACAAGCTTGATAAATTTGCAGGGGCGGATGCCTCATTTGGTAGGAGGGTTCTACAAGAAGTAGTTTCTTCTCGTGGGACACAAGCCCAGACTCTTCCCCCCCCCCCCGTAGGGACATGAGCGGCTTTGGTATGTCCCACCGGTGGATTCTACATTCATCATGCTGGAGAAGGGGCGTTGTCTTACCTGAACGCCTTTTCTCAGCATGATGATGTACAATTCATACCCACCCTTCATGGCCGTCTGGGCATGTGTCATAGTAGGAGGAGCTAATGCGTCGTACTTTGTCATATTTTGCTTCGCCTTTGTCAAAAACTGGGAAGGTACAGCCCAGAAGGAGGCGTGGCTAAATTTCTGACTTAGTCTTAACTGAGCAGGAAGGCTGAGATTACCCACCGGTGGATTCTACATCATCATGCTGAGAAAAGGCATTCAGGTAAGACAACGCCCCTTCTGGTGCAGCTTAATTAAATGAAATCCCGATGAGCCCAAGGCATATAGCAAATGAAATCACACAGTTCAAGGATAATGGCCCGTTGGGATGCAATTAATCTCAAGGTTGTTTTGGTGCTGAGCTCTAGCAGTCACATGGGATATAAAGGGATGTAGTGCTGCACAAAGGGTTAGTTAAATATAGAGTAGCTAGATGAAGTGTCCCCAAGGCCTTGACTATTAGTGGCTTTTCATGATCTTGGGTAATTTTTCAAGACCTACCTAAAAATGTTGGGATTTAGTACTTTCCTCCTGCAAAGCTGGTTCTTGAGGATCTCTTTGAAGCTACTAAGCCAGTGCTTCTCAACCTTTCTAATGCCGCGACCCCATAATACAGTTCCCCATGTTGTGGTGACCCCCAACCACTTATACATCACTGGGTGCCAGGGGCGTGGCCAAAGAAAAGAGGGAAAAATGGCGGACAGCCTTGTTTGGCGACCCCCCGTGAAATGGTCGTTTGACCCCAAATGGGATCCCGACCCACAGGTTGAGAACCACTGTACTAAGCCAATGAAGACAGACTTAAGGCTTAAGAACAATTCAAGTACTATGTGAACCTTTTTGAGTTGGTGCTTTCCATGTGATAACAACATCCATCATCATCCCTCAGCAGTAAGAGAAAAAGCAAGATGCTTTAAACTAGGTTTTCAACAAGCAAGCCATAAGCCATAACTAATAAGTTTGCATTTCATATTGAGCCAAAATCAGAAAAGCTGTATTGCACATTAAGCAGACAAGTGGGTTAGAGGGAGATCCTTCAATGAGACAAAGTCTTTTGTTAGATGCAGCTCACCAGAGACAGCACCTTAGAAACATCACCCACTAGCACTGATCCATTGCCTTGTTCTGATAGTGTATATCATAGGATTTATTTATATGTGCAACTGCCAGTTTTCAAACCATGAGAAATCAAGTTATGTATTTAACATTTACTCTCAGTTGCAGAGTTAACAAACCAACTGTTATCTGGACATGCTAATATTGTATTACTTCCTGAATCTCACATTCCCTTTGTGCCCAATCTGCAATGTTAGATATCTTACAACTCTAATATTGTATGTAGTAATGATTGTTTTCTGTTAATGTAAGCAGAAGCAGGTCCTGGGTTGGAACTGGCATAGCATTTCATTATGATTAATCTGACCATGTTCACTATTCTGGAGCCTCCTAGATGTACTGGACGATAACTCTCACTAGACCCAATCCTCACAGAGCCACATACGATGGGAGCTGTACCCAATAGCAACAGTTGTGGAAAGCTATACTATGGCAGACCATTTTGTGGTGTCAGAGATTAATTGCCAGCTTTTTTTTACCCTGGGCCCCAGAGGTGGACTACATGAATCATGGCTGATCTCATCTCAGGGAAATGGAAGGTCCATCAAGGAAACACACTGACTCTTACTTCAAAGTGGCCTGTGTTCAGTAGGGCCATTAAGAACCCAATTAGCCTAATCTAGAAGGAGAAGTCACCTGCAAAAATGATTTATGAGGGTTGTCAGGCTTAAATTAGAGATGAGGGGAGGGGAAGCAAAAAAAGTGTGGAGACAGGATCCCTGCTGACAGGTATGGTTAATTTCAGAGGCTTGCAGTGAAAATGTTGGCCTGAATTCAAGAATTCTGCCTTGTTTTCAATTTCTAATTCTAGATGCATGTCAAGATGTTCTTTGTTTGATGTTCAACTTGAGGTTTATTTCTGTCCCATCTGACATAAACTCTCAGTCCTAGAAAACACTGGGTTATGGATGGTGCTGCTGGGCCAAGCTTGACCTTGAATATCTCAGAAGCTTGCTTTCTCTGTGAAAGTGGTTTTGTTTGGCTACAAATTTATTTTCAGGATATTTGAGGATTTCTTTTCATTCCTGTTTTTGAGCTGCTTGATTATTGGGAGTGGCAGAGGATGTGAATAGTGGTCAGACTGATTTGTCTACATTTTTTGGCTGCTTACCCTTCTCAGTTTGGGAACATCTGTGAGAAAAATCCCCTCAGGTTTAGAGTTTAAAATGTGTGAAGCAGAGCACTCAAGAGATGATTGTTTGGTGAAAGACAAGATATTCATGCACATCCTTTGATCACTTTGTGTAACTGCAGGGAGGCCCTGCTCTACTGATGAGAATTGTACTTAATTTATCCTGATGGGAGGGTTGTCAGTGAAGTCCATCTAGATCAGAGGTGGGGAACTATAGCCCCTTTATGACTTATGGACATTAACTCCCAGAATTCCTGAGCCAGGAGGGATCTAGACCATCATTTCTCAACTTTGGCAACTTTAAGACGTGTGGACTTCAACTCACAAAATTCCCCAGTTGCCAAGGTTGAGAAACACTGATCTAGACCAGAGGTCCTTAACCTTTTGGGCACCAGGGATCAATTCCATGGAGAGAGGTTTTTCTGCGGACCAAAGGGGGCATGGTTTTGTGTGCTGCCTGCATCCCATGGATGAGGCTTTGCTTGTTTGTGCGGACAGGTTGCTGGCATGCCGTGGCCCAGTACTGGTCCACGGACTGGGGGTTGGGGACCCCTGATCTAAACCTCAGTGTCCTCTTTGTTCAAATCAACCCTCCCATCTCCTTCTAAAATTTATAACTTGTCATACAATCCTTGGGTTGTCAATTCAAGTGATTGCTATGACTTAAAGCAGCAGTCCCCAACCTTTTTTTGGCACCTGGGACCAGTTTTGTGGAAGACAAATTTCTCCATGGACCTGGGGTGGTAGAGGAGGAGCGTGCAGTCTAGATCCTACGCACGTGCAGTTTTACTCACTTGAGGCTCACCTCCATCTCTGAGGTCCAGATCCTAACAGGCTGTTTGACACCCGGTACTGGTCCATGGTCCAGGGATTGAGGACTTCTGGCTTAAAGCAGAGGTGCCCAAAAGGTTGAGGACCCCTGGCTTAAAGGATGAGAGCCGCCACTCACAGTTCTTGCTTTTCCAAATAGGGTCAGAAAAACAGTGGTTTAGAACCATGGAGAGAGGTTGCCAGTGAATGACACCCATCCTGAGAACCTTCTAATATTCCTAAAATAAGTCTCTTTGGATTCAAGCTCCTGGGGACATACCCATATTTACCACTTTGGGGACAATTGCCTTCTTTTGCTACTCTTGCAGATTGAAGCGTTGACCCATTTGTGGTATTTCCACTGGTGCAATTTGCCAATGCAAACCCCCTTTTCTTTGCCTTGTGATGAACCCTAATAAATCCCCCTGCTTTGGAATATATTTCTTTGACAGCAACCAATGATTCATGCCAACATCTCTGTTGGTTGTGTCTAATAGCCCATAGAGTTTCTTATTAATTCTGTGTTAGACTTTGCCGGTTTCTTATTCTGTGCAATGCTGTGCAGTGAAGAACTCTTTGTCTGCCTTTATGGTCTCTTGTAGGTTGCAGCCCTGGAGAGACAGATATTTGACTTCCTGGGTTATCAGTGGTTGCCGATCCTGGCCAATTTTTTACACATTATGGCCGTCATTCTGGGTGTCTTTGGCACCCTTCAGTACAGATCCAGATACCTCATGCTGGTAGGTATTATGTCCTGCTCTGTGATTTTTTTGCTTCTTTTTTCAAAATAGTGAAATGTGCTGGATTGTTGCTTTGTGTATTAAATCTGTTGTATTGCCACAGCCAGTTTCTTAGCACCATGAATGCATAAAACTAGATTTCCAATCAGATACATTTCAATGAAAATTAAAATAATTAAAGCTCCCTTTTTACGATCCTGAAGTCAGTGGCTCAGCGGTTAAAGATGCTGAGCTGGAAGCTGACAGCCTGGGTTTGAGACCTGAACTCTATACAACGGGTGAGCTCTCATTACTTGCCCCAGCTCCTACCCACTTAGTGGCTGGAAAGCATGCAAATGCAAGGTGATTAATGGAGACCACTTTGGTGGGAAGGTAACAGCGTACCGTGTGCCTTTGTTGTATAGCCATGCTGGCCACATGATCATGGAAAATGTCTTCAGACAAATCTGGCTCCTTCAGCCAAGAAATGGAGATGAGTACCGTACTATAGAGTTGGACATGACTGATAAAGAAACCTTTACTTTTAGCCCCTATTCACAATAAAGTTGGGGTGAGTGGATGGAGCTGGGCATTTACTGGCCACATGCCCTTCATGATGCCTATGTAGAGTTTGCAGCAGATATTTTTTCTTTGCCCCCTAGGAGAGAAACATCTGCTGATATCTAGGATTGAACTCTCAACCTTCCAAGTGGGAGGCAAGTGTCATCACCACTAGGCCACCACGGCGCTCTAATCAAAATTAAAATAACTGATATTAAAAACCTGAATAAACTGTGGGTTTTTAGAGCCCTCTCAAGAGTGATTTGATGATTAGTTGTAATACGTACTTTGTATAAGATAGAAACCTAATGTTGGCCAATAGCATCTATAACTGTAACGTAGAATGCAGAATGATTGGGCATCTTGCAATATTGTGTTAATCATAAAGCTGCCCAGAGTTACCTTGTGGCAAGATCGGTAGCGAATAAATTTAATAAATAAATAAAATAACAAAGTAATGCCCAAAGCCTCTCTGATTTTGGCAGTCAGGCTTTAATGATTAAGAAGGTCAACTTGTTTTAGGAATCTTCCTTCAGATTGTTAAGTTCAAGTCTTCAATGTGTATTGTGTTTCTGCAGCTGGATGTGTTTAGGGTAAGAACAATGGAGAACAAGCATATATCTCCAGTTGTTTTAGTAGTTTTTCCCATTGTACAGCTTCAACCTGCCTCTTTCTCTCCTTCACTAGTATGCTGTGTGGCTCATAGTCTGGGTTGGCTGGAATGCATTCATCATCTGTTTCTACCTGGAAGTTGGACACCTTTCACAGGTAATTACCTCTCTAATCACACCCAGAACTTGCCCTTCTCAAGCCATCAGTCCACCCAACAGCTTTCCATCCATCACCTTTCCAGCAGCAATTGCTCCTTGGGAAAGAGATTAGAATTCAGGAGAAGATCGCAGGTTGTAAATGCTTCCAGGTTCCTTTCAAATTAACTCTCCTCCCCCCATCCCAACCCCAGCAACTTCTTCCAGTGCTGACATTGTAGGTCAGATTTGGCACAATACTGGGAGACCACTGGGAGACTTGCTGTGTTGCTCTGTGTAATAAATAAATGAGGGTTTGGCTTCTCCAGGTATTCAGGCTGTGTGCTTTTCCCTCCCTTCTCTCACTGAGGCCTTTCTCTTTTATGGCCTGCACAGGTTTTGCAAGTAAAGACAAAGCTCTGTTTGAAATGCAGTGCTCACATAGCATGTTGGCAGAAACAGTTCTGTTTTGTAAACAGATGGGTTGATCCACAAGGGAAGATAGGGGCTGGAGGGAAAGAAGACAAATCAGGCTGTATTTATACTGGAGTAGTATAAATGCATTGGGAGTGTGCGTGTCTCATACTGCTCACCAATTAAATCGGGTTCCAAGGAGATAATCATTGTGAATTCAAAGCATACTTTTATCAGGATTATAGATTCCTGGATCTCGTTTGTCATTTTGGGAAAGGCATTGCTGTCTGTTTGTGGTGGACAAGGGAGAATGCCTCTTCTAATAACTACTCCATTGTTTCTGTCAGGTGCAAATAACTAAGAGCATTTGTTGAGTTTGAAGCACAGAACAGTTACCTATTTACAAGAATCTAATCAACTAATGGTCAAAGCTAAGTTGGTGCTAGATAAGGATCAATGGAATTCATGGGGGAAGGAGATAGACTTGGGTCTCTTGTGGCAACACAATGACTCCAAACTAATGACACATTTAACTCTGCCTTCCAATTCAGCCTGCTCTTCTACAGTTTCTCAACCTTAGCAACTTTAAGATACATGGACTTCAGCTCCCAGAATTCCCTAGCCAACATGGCTGGCTAGGGAATTCTGGGAAATGAAGTCTACACATCTTAAAATTGTCAAGGTTGAGAAACAGTTTTATTCCAAGCACACTGTTTATTTTTCTAGCATTGTTATTGTCATCGTCATCATTATTATTTAAACAAAGACTATGCCATCTAATTCTGTGGAACAGTTTATAAGAACCAGAAATTTTGAAGTCCAATGTATATTGAACCAAATTCAGGGCTAGAACAGTATATCCACTCATTTCTCATGGCTGAGGCTGACACAACAATCTTGTTAATGTCTTTTAAAGTTTGAATTAGGAGTGAATGAGAAGTATGAATGCGGAGTTTCCAGGTGCTACTTCTCAAACCCATAAGCAAAGCAGAATGCAGATATCTGGAGTTTTTTTCACTTTTATCGTGGCATGGGAAAAGATGAGCATATGTTCATTTGAATGAGGAAAGTATTTGCAAGAATGCCTCACGGTAAGGAAAAATTGTGTGACAATCTTCTCCAACACCAAAGTTGAAAAGCGTCAATGCTCTTCCCATCTTTCTTTGTTAAAGTCCAACTTTTGCTTGCCTGGAATGCCACAGAAAATATCCCGTGGCTTGCACAACTGTGATCTTGTAGATCCGTGGTTCTCAACCTGTGGGTCAGGACCCCATTTGGGGTAGAACGACCATTTCACGGGGGTCGCCAAACAACGCAGTCCGCCATTTTTTCCCCTTTTCCTTAGCTGTGCTACTCCCTTTTATTCTATTGACTTTTGAAAGCCAATAGAATAGACTCTCTTGAATAGAGTCTAATTCTATTGGCTTTCAAAAGCCAATAGGAATTGTCCAGGCTGTCTCTGCCCTGCTGAGCCCGCCAAAAGTCCCATTCTGCAAACGGTGCTGCAAGTTGTCTGCAGTGGCGAGCTGTCTGGAAGTTTCCACCCCTCCCTGCTGAGCAACTACTAAAAATGTAAGTAAAAGAGGGCCAGGGGTGGGAGGTGGGAGGCCGGCGGGCGCAGGGAGGGTTGCTGGCACGCGTAGGGCCCGGCGGGTGCCTTACCTCCCTTGGGCTGGGCCAACTGGTGGCCCAGCCGGTGGTCAGCCTGCACCGTGTCTGCCGCTTGCCAGCTACGCCTCGGCCGGCGCAGGGGGCGGCACCACGCATGCACGGTGCTCCCGGGCAGGGAAAGTCCTTGACTTATGACCGGTTGGGTAATCCTCGACTTACGACTGGTTGGGTCCTTGACTTATGACCGGTTGGGGGTCGCAGCATTAAAAAGGTTGAGAACCACTGTTGTAGATGCTAGAATATATCTTCCAAGGCCTTCCTGGCTGCTTAGCGAAAAAGAGTGCAAATAAAGTAAGGCAAGCTTTCAGAAAGTATATGCATCTAAAACAGTGCATGCGCATACACAGACACACAGAGGTCTCCCCAAAGACCCTCCATGCCAACCTGGAAAAAGAATCCCTTAACCAATTCTGTGAGATCATAAGGACAATGCCCCCCCCCATCCCTCAAAATAAATGTGAATCCTTTCCAGGTGTAAATAGACTAGACTATTATGCAAATAATCTCCTTTAGATTCAAAAGGAGAGACTAAATCCCTTTGCAGAATTTTTTTCTTTTTTAGCTAAACATATTGATCAGAGGCAGTCAGGCTGGAAGGGAGCCCCAAAGTGGCCTTTGCTGACTCTGTGTTTTCTTGTGTCTGATAGATGGAGGGCAGGGAATAGTGGTGGAATTATAAGATAGCTGGGTTCTAATTTATCTAATTTGTCACCTGATCATTCTCCAAAAAGTAAGAATGTGGGTGCATTGTATGCACTTCTTAGTAATTGGATAAGACAACAGTTTGTCGTCTTACAAGGTAGTCTACAAATTAGAGATCCTGGCTTGCACACAAGGCACTAAAACTGACCAGTACTGTTGTGGTATGGGTAGGGGTAAGGCTGCTTATGCAGTCTACTCATCTATTATCTTATTGAAAAGTATTATGTGAAAATCTTGATTGACCTAAGCTATGATGTGCAACAAAAGTCAATATTTATAAGCTCATTAAGTCAGTGGTCTCTGCAAAGTTCAAAATTGGCAGATAGTGGATGGAATATCACAATGCATACTGTGTTCTTTTGGTTTGTATTGTGATGTTCTGCCCATCATCTTTCCAATTTTAACACTCCATCACACTGGATGTCATTGCTTCTGATGCCTGTTTTTCTTTTCTTTGTATGGCATTGCTTACCTCAAAGGGATTATGAGTATGAATATATTTTCCATCTTTGTAGCGGTCCAAACATCACTGTTGAATTCATCTTTCTCCCATTTCTGTAGGATCGAGACTTCATCATGACCTTTAACACATCACTGCATCGCTCATGGTGGATGGAGAATGGTCCTGGTTGCCTGGTGACCCCAGTGATCAACTCCAACCTAGCCTTAGAAGACCATCATGTCATCACAGTAACTGGATGTTTGCTTGATTATCAATATATTGAGGTGGTGAGCAGCGCAATGCAGATATTCCTTGCGGTAAGTAAGTGGCATCAGTAGCTCTTCTTGGATGGTTTGGCCTCTCCATTACTTCTAAAAATAAACAAAACAAAACTGAGGCAGTAAAGATTCTACTGTCAGTTTTTGCTGCAGAATTCATACCCATTTGAACAACAACAAAAAAAAACCTTTGCTCCCATTTGATTTACAAAGTATACACAGAATCTATCAAATATGGACATCGGATTCACCTCCCTTTGTGCTCTTCAGGCTTTCTACCATTTTTTAAAATTAAAAAAGCAGATGTTTTCATTTTAAAAAGTTAAATGGGAAGCTGACATTTTGTATCTCCAATATCCCTCTGTCAGTCATAACCTTCCCCCTGAAGTTTACCTTGGCCCTTACCCTCCTAGGTTTTTGAAACACTATTAAAACTGACATTTCCAGCATGGCTTTGGGACCAGAAATGCTCTATTGGATCTCTTCTCTGGTGTTTAATGTTGTCTAGGAGTCATGTTAGCACTGCCTAGGGTATTTTAGTATACATTTCTTGGGCATTTGTTTTTAATCAGAATATTGGATTGGGTACATATGCTGCTCAGAATCAGTGGCATATTAAGCTGAAGGAAGTGAAGGAGGGAGGGAGGAAAAAGTGCTTCTTCACCTTCAATGGATTGAATTAAAAGACTGATGTCAGCCTTCTCAGGTGGACCCGACAGAGAATACAGCCAGATGAGCTAATTCTACTTAAGTATCAGACTAAAGGTAAAGGTTTCCATGTCAGTCATGACTGACTGTAGGGCAGGGTGCTCATCTCCATTTCTTGGCTGAGGGAGCCAGCATTGTCCTAAGACAATTTCTGTGGTCACATAACCAGCATGGCTATATGTCAAAGGCACACAGAATGCTGTTACCTTCCCACCAAAGTGTTACCTATTTACCTATTTGCATTTACATGCTTTCAAACTGCTAGGTGGGCAGGAGCTGAGGCAAGTAACGGGAGTCATCTGATGCTTGGGTCTCGAACCTGGGCTGTCGGCTCTCCAGCTGACAAACTCGGTGTCTTTAAATGCTGAATCATCGCTCATCAGCATTAACAGATTCTTGCAAGTCTGAAAGTACAAACCTTCCGAGCCTGATCACTTAGGGAGGGTTTCCTTCTGAACCTTTCTCCACCCACAGGGTAGCTGTGGCTTTGCAGTCTCTTATTAGATCGTTCCCTTAGGCAGCATTTCTTTTCCACATCTCCCAAGGTCATTCGCATATACCATCATAGATGGAGCACTAATGATTCCCAGCAGCTCCAGTCAACATGATGGATGGTAATGGATGATAGTAGCTGTGTTTCAGAAAGCTTCTTGTGGGCACAAGTCCCCCTACCCTGCATAAAACTGTATGGTTTTGCCAGTGTACAAACCATACAGCCTGAAATAATATATGTCATGTGAACATAGCAATTGTGCTGTGTTAAACAGGTTTAAGGATTACTTTGTTAAATGAAGCCCAATGACAAAGATTAGTAAGAACTGCTTCCTGATAAATCACTAAAAATTTGCAGGTTCTGAACATCCTTTTCTCCTTCCCTTTGCAACTTTGCCTTTAACTTTTTTTATTCCAAGGGCGATAAGTGGTTATGTTGAGCTTGACAGTTGGCTTACTTTTTTGAGAGTTTTAAATTGGTCAGCCCACCTCACCCATTGGTCTTGCTCTTTTGTATCTAAAGAACCAGCATGGTCGAAAGTAGTTTGAGACAGCAGCGGAGATATAAATGGAAGAAATAAACTTGGCTGCCTGAACTTTTCCCTCATCGGTTTAAATGGTTAAATCCTAGTGTGATAATAATTGGTGCATTTCTTTGCTTTCAAATAATTAATTCATGTTTCTCTCTTTTTCAAAACACGTATTTTGAAGCTATTCGGATTTGTTTATGCCTGCTATGTCAGCAAAATGTTTATGGAGGAGGAAGACAGCTGTAAGTATCCAGTTATCACACTGAATAAGTAGGAGTATCGTCCCTGCTTGAAATATTAGGGTGATGCAGAAGTGGCTTGTCACTGGGGCTGCCAAATTTTTAAGAATTCGGTCAGGCATGAGAATTTTTTCATATTCCAGTTTCTGCTGCTTAAAGGTTGTCCTTCTTTCTCTCTCTTTTTTTTCCCTTTCTTATTATGTGTTTATATAAGTTTATGTGAATCTTAATAGAGGTAGTCCTTGACTTACAACAGTTCATTTAGTGACTGTTCAAAGTTACAATGGCACTGAAAAAGTGACATATGACTGTTTTTCACACTTACAAACATTGCAGCATCCCCATGGTCATGTGATCCAAATTCGGACACTTGGCAATTGACTCATATTTATGCCAGTTGCAGTGTCTTGGGGTCACATGATCCCTTTTGCGACCTTCTGATGAACGAAGTCAATAGGGAAGCCAGATTCACTTAACAACCGTCTTAATAACTTAACAGTTGCAGTGATTCACTTAGCAACTGTGGCAAGCAAAATTGCAAAATGGAGCAAAACTCATTTAACAAATGTCTCATAGGTTCCAGCATCAGCTATTCATCAGACTTTCTTCCATCTTCACTTAACCCTGTGGGGAGACTTTGGGTTCCCCTCCTTGGCCAGTTAAAGGATGATGGGCCAGGAAGTCTTTTCACTCAGTGAGTGATCTTTGTAGACAATTCTTCCTGTGATCACCTTTTGCAACCTTCTGACAAGTAAAGTCAATGGGGAAGCCAGATTCACTTAACAACCATGTTACTAAGTTAACAACTGCAGTGATTTTCTTAACAACTGTGGCAAGAAAGGTCGTAAAATGGGGTAAAATTCACTTAACAAATGCCTCACTTAGCAACAGGTAGTAAATAAGTAAAGCAACAAAACCATTTACAGGTAGTAAATCAAGAACTACCTGTAAATGGTTTTGTTGCTTTGCTTATTTGTGTAAACTCAACCTGTTTCTTGGTCATTTGAGGGTTCATTGACTGTTTGGGAATTTTTGATGTGCCCGTCAGTGCAAGCAAACAAGCAAGCAAATTTTTAAAAAAGGTAGAGGAAAAAGTAGGAATTCTTGAACTGATTTTTTTTTCCTGCAAACCAATAGTTGAAGGAAGAGAAAAAATGTTAGGAAAAAAAATCTGAAGTTCATCCATGATCTTGGCAACTTAAGGGGATCTCTTGTTCTTTTACTGCAATGTTTTTCAAACTTGGTAATTTTAAAATGTGTGGACTTCAATTCACAGAATTCCCCAGCCAGCATGCTAGATGCTTTATTACAATTTTCTTTAAATTAGGGGTCCCCAACCCCCGGTCCATGGACTAGCACTGGTCCGCAGCATGCCAGCAGCTGGTCTGCACAAGCAAGCAAAGCCCCATCTGCGGGATGCAGGCAGCACACGAAACCATGCCCCCTCCATGGAAAAACCTTTATCCATGGAACCAGTCCCTGGTGCCCAAAGGGTTGGGGGACCTCTGCTTTAAATGACTTCTTTTGAGTAAGATAATGACCATTACTTTGTCTAGCTGTTTGCCAGAACAAACATCCTTTTGTCTTTTCACCCACAGTTGATTTCATTGGAGGGTTTGATTCATATGGCTACCAAGCACCCCAAAAGATGTCACACCTGCAGCTACAGCCTTTGTACACGTAAGTGGCTTTTATCAATTGAGACTCCAATTCCCCACCAGGCCTTTGGAAGAACTATAGGAAAGTAATTTTCCTTCCCTTTCCCTAACCACATACTGCTTAGGGCAGTGGCTCTCAAGCTTGGACACCAGGAAACCCAGGCAGTTCAAATGTATATAAGGGTTTATTGCAAGCTTAAACTCTTTACAAGAATTGAACTACTAATAGTCAAAGCAAATTGATGCTAAACAAGAGTCAATGAAATTCCAGGTGGGTTGGACTTGGGGACGCGAAGAGGTTCAAGACTTAGGATGCATTTGATTCCTTCATTGAGCTCAGCCTGGTCATCTCATACATTGGTCTCTCTTCACCAATGGTGCAGTATTTTTGCATTTGCTCTGATTCTCTCCAGAAATGGAGTAATGATTGAACTCTGCCTTTAGGAGTAGATGTAATGGCATTGGAGGACTGACCTTGGGAGACAGGAGGAAGGGGTGCATATTAGACGATAATCAGATAAGAGGCAGCTGGGGACATCTTTTTCTCTAGTGCGGTGTTTCTCAATATTGTCACATTTAAGATGTGTAGACTTCAACTCTCAGAATTCCCCAGCCAGCATGTGTGGAGTTGAAGTCCACACATCTGAAACTTGACAACGTTGAGAAACATTGCTTTTGTGATATAGATGAGAAATTATCTGAGTTTGGGTAAAGGTTGCAAATGGAATTCCCATTTATGTACCTCTATTTCTCCTTGCCCTTGTTTTAGAACATATGAATACAGTATTATCAGACAGAGTAGCTCCTGGTTTGACTTTGCTCTTTATGTTTCTCCAAATGTCTCCAGAGTAGCTCCTGGTTTGACTTTGCTCTTTGTGTTTCTCCAAATGTCTCTTTCTCCAAAAGTATGTTCTGCTGCAACATGGAGCTCTAATCTTATGTCACTGGTCTTCTGTTCTTTTTTTTAGCTCTGGATAATTGCTTCTTTGCCTACCTACAGTGAACAAGCCTTTAGGGATGTTTGCAAACAACAATAACAACAACGCCAAGCCACCAAGATAAATGGAGTAGGGCAAAGCATTTTCAAGGCCGTTGTCAGTTCTGCTGGAGATTTGGTGTTCCTGGAGAGACAACTACAATGACTCCATCTTGTCCTCCTCATCCGTTAATGCGTTTCATTTGGTAGCTAAGCAAGAATCATGAACCCATTGGGGAAACTTTGACCAACACTGTTTCTCCAGATCTAAGTTTCTGCTTAAAAAGACCTCAGAGCCAAAACAAGCTTAGAACTCCACCTACTGGCCAGATTATGTACTGTCAATGGCCAGTCCTCCAGGGATCTTACTGCTTATTTCTAAGCAAGATTCTTTTTTTTCTGATTTTTCTTTCTTTTCTTGGTTTTTCTAAAAAAAAAAAAAAAATAGTTCTGGGACACTTCTTGTCTGAGCAAATGACTTTTAGTGTGCTAATCTGTAGGCTGCAATATTTTGCAATAACGAAAAGGAGTAAAGGAATAAAATCAATGGAAAATGAAATAAAAGGTGGGTAATGGAAAGGAAGGCTGACTAGGGTCTTAAATCTGTAACATGTGGTCCTTTAGTGAATATTTTTCTAAGCTGCTTCATCTAGGGATCACATGGTTGCCTCCAAATTGTCTTCAGAAGCATTCCATTTCTGATGTATACCCAGAATTTTCTCTTCCAACTCAGCTTTCAGGTGAAGAGGAAGGGAGAGAAAAGGCAAAGAGAGACAAAAGCGAGGAAAAAAGTGGGGGTCACCACTCATTTGTGGCTGATAATGTGGGTTTTAGGAGGAACCCCTGAAAAATCTAATCAAAATGAACATCTGTTAAAGAACATCAGTTAAATAGATCTGTAGGCAGAAATTGTTCCTTTTATCAAAAAGATAAAACCAAATGGATGTCTATTTGGGCCAGCACGTTTTATTTTTCTTCAGATGACACCAACTCTTTTCCACGAAAAGTGTGAGATGAATAACTTCTCAATTCTGGAGGTGGAAAATAATGTTCTTAGGAAGGGGAGGTATGATGGCTGAAGATGGGGGTATAAACTGTTTTTTTGTATCTCTTTGGTATTTCTTTTGTAAAGGAGCTCAAGTCTCTCCTACACCCTTCTGTGTAGCCCCCTGTTTGTTGAAGGCCATGAGCTCAGTGATGACAAGCAGGCAACCTTGTTCAGTCCTCTGGCTCTTATCAAAAGAGCTCCCACAGCATTTTGTAAGATTTCAAGGATTGTCCTAAGACAACTTTAAGACTCCAGAATTCCTCAGCCAGCCAGCTAATGATGCAGCTGTGGTCTGGCTTCTGATTTGTGCAAAAAGCAAACCCAAAGCCACACCGGTGATGAGGCACGACCACAAACCAGAAGCCAGACCACAGCTGCATCATTAGCCACTTTAAACCCCTCCAATCCATACATGAAGCAAACTGACACCACCATGAAGATGAGGCACGACCACGAATGCGAAGCCAAAAAATAGCAAGGCAGCCCACCATCTTAAATCCCCCTGCAACTCAGACTAACCTGAGCACAACAAAGCCCCCACCCAAACAGAACACTCCCCCAGCCAATCAGAGCACATACAACCCCCTAGCCAATCAGAGCACAGCCAACCCCCAGCCAATGGCACAGTGCCGTTATAACTTTGAACAGTCAATAAATGAATTAGTTGAGGACTATTCGTAGTTGGAAAAGGATTTTGTGTTACTTCTGTGCAGAAGTGTCTTCCAATATTTCCAGCCCATAATAATCTCTGGAGTGCAAAACTCTTGGTTAAGGTGATTTCATACCATCTTGCCAGGTTTTCTATCTAGTTAGGTATTCTTTCCATAACTGTTATGTTAAAAATACAAATTGCTCTGAAGGTAGACAATAAATCATAACATCTCTTAAACTGGTCAACTGGGCTTCACGTGAATCACGTTTTTTCTGAAATTTGGGGGAGAAAAATACTCTTTCCTTCCTCTTTCCCCCACCCTATCTCCCCCAACTGAATCCTGGAGTATCACACGACCACAAGAGAAGGAGGGTACTTCCAGAGGACCAGTTTCGAGTGATATGCCCTTGGCATGCAGACAAAATGGTCATTTCCCCCCCCCCCAATTAAGAATCCTGCATTTCTGCAATGTCTCTTTTCCCCACTAAAGAGAATTTCAGGTAGTCCTCAACTTACAACAGATCATTTAGTGACTGGCCAAAGTTACAATGGTGCTGAAAAAAGTGACTTATGACTATTTTTTACACTTATGACTGTTGCAACATCCCCAGGGTCATGTGTGATCCCCTTTTGCGACCTTCTGACAAGCAAAATCAATAGGGGAAACCAGATTCACTTCACAACCGTGTTACTAAATTAACCACTGCAGCGATTCGTGATTAACAATTGTAGCAAGCAAGGTTGTGAAGTGGAGCAAAACTCACTTAAGTGTTTCACTTAGCAACAGAAACTTTGGGCTCTATTGTTGCAAATTGAGGACAACCTGTAGTGCAGGGATCCTCAACCCCCAGTCCGTGGACCAGTACCAGTCTGCACAAATAAGCAAAGCCCCATCTGCAGGATGCAGGCAGCACACAAAACCACGCAGTCCAGTCCGCGGAAAAGCTTCTCTCCACGGAACTGGTCCCTGGTGACCAAAAGGTTGGGGACCTCTGCTGTCGTGGAATGATTGGCCAGCTAGTCTGAATGAACAATGGATACAGATTAAAATATGGCATACTAAATCTGCTATTTCTATACCAACGATAAGGAACGTCATGTTCCTAAGTCCCTGATATTTGTTAATTACCATGGAAGCCATTTGCGTGGCCATAGGGGAAAAATAGTAAGGGACATTTTTGTCATCAATGAGGTCAGAAGTTCCCCATCCCTGCTCTAACACTCTTAAACCTTTTTCTGAAACTGTGTCCCTGAATCTCACTGACATGCCAGGCTGCAAGCATATTGTTATGCTGAATTGCCATCTGTTCCTGCTTTTCAATCTCTTCTGAATATGAAGTCTAGCCTTAATCCATGGATCCTCCTGGACAACATGAGCCCCATTACTGTTTCTCATCTACTAAAACAGGGCTTTTCATGGGAGGGGGGCAAAGGGGGAAGAGAATACCCTCTTGGTGGGAAGGTGGGGTGTACAGGTAGTCCTCAACTTACAATCACAACTGAGCCCAAAATTTATGTTGTTAAGCAAGACATTCATTAAGTGAGTTTTGCCCCATGTTACAACCTTGCCACAGTTGTTAAGTGAAGCATTGCAATTAGTAACAGTTCTTTTTTAAAAAAATATATTTTATTGGTTTTATAGTTTTAACAAAAAGTGTTTAAGACACACCGTGGTGTTTGAGTAAAAGATTCCAACATAAAATCACACAATAACAGCTCAACTTAATACATTCGCTATTATCTCTATATTTCCCTCAAGTAACATAGTAAATTTAATATATTTCATTTCTATCTTAAATTTCTATTACTACTAAACCTGTTTATTAAAACTTTAAATCAATTTCAATAATCAGATAGTGTTTTACATCAACATATTATCTTCAAATACCTCTTGCAAATATATTCAAGTTCTTTATCCCTCTCATCTCTTTTTTATCACCAATCTTATTTATTTCTTCTTCCAATAATAACTAGTTTAGTTAAAAAAACAATATTATCATATCTTATCAAATTGTATTATTATACACAAACTTCTCTTAAGTAATTAAACATTACACATGTATATAGTTACAGTTTTTTTACTTCTAAATCTAAATTATTATCCTTAACCTTTCAGCCAGTAAGTCCATTTTTGTTACTTATAGTAGTCTTTGACTTAGTTCATTTCCATTCATTAAAGAAACCAAATTTCATCCAATTAATTATCATACTATATCAAAACGTATTATTATACACAAAAATGTCCTAATTAATTAAGCATTTCAAAATTCCAGCCTAAATCAATCTATTATTCCAAGGAATGCATTCTTAAACTCTATAAAGCCAAGTTTCTTTTTTCACTCCACATTTAACTTTCATATTTCCATATCAAACAAATTTTCATAAAACAAAAAAGTCATCAAACTAAATTAAATACACATAAATATAATTGTAGATTTCTTACTTCTAAATCATTATCCTTAAAACAATCCATAGAACCAACATTGCCTTTTAATCCATTAAACCAGTGGTTCTCAACCTTTTTAATGCCGCGACCCCCAACTGGTCGTAAGTCGAGGACTTTCCCTGCCCGGGAGCGCCATGTATGCGTGGTGCTGCCCCCTGCGCCGGCCGAGGCATAGCTGGCAAGTGGCAGACACGGCAGAGGCCGACCACTGGCTGGGCCACCAGCTGGCCCAGCCCAAGGGAGGTAAGATACCCGCCGGGCCCCACACGCGCCAGCAACCCTCCCTGCACCCGCCGGCCTCCCACCTCCCACCCCTGGCTCTCTTTTACTTACATTTTTAGTAGTTGCTCAGCAGGGAGGGGTGGAAACTTCCAGACAGCTCGCCTTCATTGCAGACAACTTGCAGCACCATTTGCAGAATGGGACTTTTGGCGGGCTCAGCAGGGCAGAGACAGCCTGGACAATTCCTATTGGCTTTTGAAAGCCAACAGAATTAGACTCTATTCAAGAGAGTCTATTCTATTGGCTTTCAAAAGCCAATAGAATAAAAGAGAGTAGCACAGCTAAGGAAAAGGGGGAAAAAATGGCGGACTGTGTTGTTTGGTGACCCCTGTGAAATGGTCGTTTGACCCCAAATGGGGTCCCGACCCACAGGTTGAGAACCACTGCATTAAACAGTTTTTACTAATTTAAACACACACATATATATATAATTGCATTTTTCCGTTCTAGATCAATATCCTTAAAACAATCCATGAAGTCAACATTGCCTTTTACTCCATTAAAGATTTTTAAATTTGTTTTTCAGTCTAATTCTGGGTTTCTTTCTATGCCACACAGGCTTCCATAAAACGCTTCCCTTTAAACTAATAAATCCATTCTCAATGCTTGCAATAATCTTTGAGCAAATGTACGTCCCTTTCTCTGCAGTAAACATCTTTTTTCTCTTTCAATCAATAGATCAGTTCTTATTGCTTGTAGTAGTCTTTGAGAAAGTATAAATCTCTTCCTCTGTAGTAAACATCTTTTTCTGTTCTCTTTGTGATATAGTTGCTTTGTATTTTGAAGTCTTAGTCTTTGCTTCTGGTTCTCTAAGTTGCTGAAGAGGGGATTGTCAGATGAAATAAATTCCACTTCTATCACTGTAGATTCCTCTTCTGGTACATTTTGATCTATGACATGATCAGTTGTAACCTGGACATATTTGAGCAAATGTAGTAGAGTCTCTGGATCTTAATTCTAAAGTACAGTTTTTAAATGTAGCACAAATTTCTGCAGTGGCCTGATAAATCTTTTCCAATATAAGTGCACAGTTCAGTTGTATCTGAGGTTTGTCCATTTTAATACTCTTAAAAGGAAATCTCTTTTTCTTTTTTGTAGAGGATTTGTTTAATGTAAAAACATCCACCCCCACAGCTTCACAGGTGCACAGCTTATCTTTAATGTTTGAAGTTCATAAAAAAAAGTAAGCAAAGTTACAATATTAAATTTTTGCACTAGATGTCCTCAGTGAGTTAGGAAAGTCTTTTCCAAAAATCAATTCTTTTTTTCTGTCTTTTAAGGTATAATATGTATATATATAAAAAAGTAGAAATAGTAAAGTTCTTAAAAATAAAGGAGAGAGGAAACCTTTTCCTTCTTTTTTTCCCTTTTTCGTGTCCAGTTTATAGCCTTTCAGTATTTGTAAAATGCCTTTCTTCCCCCAAAAAGCAGAAGCCGCCTTTCTAAGCCAGGGAAATAATTTCAAAAGCTCTTTACAGGCACACAAACAAACAAACAAAAAAGTGGAATAGAGAGAAAAATAAGAAACAATTCTCACCCGGATTCACCACGGGGGCACTAAAAGCTTAGATCAGCGGGTCTCAACCTTTGGGTCGCGACCCCATTTGGGGTCGAATGACCATTTTACGGGGGCGCATAGGGGTGCCGCCGCGCATGGGGGCGGCGGCGTGCATGCGCAGCGCGTCCTTATGACTGGGGTCACCGTATAAAAAGGTTGAGAACCACAGGCTTAGATGTTTTCTGACTTACGGTCTTCTCCGTCAGCCCTCAGAGATTCATCCGGACAGCTGGAGGAGCCGCCGCTCCTCTTCAGCCAGACAGCAGCCTCCTCGACAGAAATTGCACCCTCCAGGGCAACTTTGGACCCGTATAAGGGTCCACCGACAAAGGGAAACCTAGTCAACGAGGAGAGGAGTCTCCTCGTGCGACTAGTGATGCCACGAACCGGAACCGGAAGTCGA